CGCCCGACATTTTGCCTCGTCGCGCGACCAGGGGCACAGCAGCGTGATCGCGGCGCCGCATTAGCGTGATCGCGTCCCCGCATTAGTGCAGCAACATTGCGCATGCGATCGCATCCAAATGACAATGTAGCAATTCTAACCTATTCCCCATACCGTGCATACTCTGTAGCATATTTTGACCCGACCCGACCCGACCCGTGCTATAACCGACCCGGGTACGGGTCACAAATACCCGTTCCAACGGGGCGGGTCGGGTCACCAAAACAGAGTCAAACTCGACCCGCAATCCCGACCCGACCCGACCCGTTACTGTAACGGGTCACCCTAGACGGGACGGGTCGGGCCAGATGCCCATGCCTAGTCCAACCCAGCGTCTAGACGCCAGCGTCTAAGACGCTAGACGCGTCTTCCGCAACTTAGCTCCTCGTCCTCCTCCCTGCTATCATTGTCAACAGTGGTAGTAGTCGTGCGCCCCGCTGGCATGGATTAAAAACCCCAACGAAACAAGCCGCGGGTGTCGCGGGCCCGCCCCCTACACCACCCTGCAGAGGTTGTGCTGGAGTTGAGGGCGCAGTGCACCGCCGCGACCACCTACCACTCCACCTACTGCTGGTGGTTGCGAAGCCATAAGCCAACAAGCCTAAACCCTAGCCCACCTTAAGCTAAACACGAATTGCGATTTTCTGCTGTCTAGGGGCGTGAATAAAGCTTGTTGCCGTAAATGATGGAGTCGCCTAGGATTTCATGTAGGTTTCCCTAAAACGAGGTTCCTGGTGATGGGTTCCTGCTCAATTCTACCCTTAACTGCACAACCTAGCACCATCCTTAGTCTAGGCTGAGAAAGAGTTAAATTACGCTGAGGGAAATTTGTGTTGAGAAAAGTGTTGATTTGTGGCCCTGTTGGTCCTGCTAAAAAATGAGTTCAAACTGAATGTCCCGTCAACCTAAAAAGGTGGTCGCGGGACTTTCGCGACGAACACATTTGTGTTCGTCACATGTGTTTATCGACTTCAGAGACGAACGCGAACATGTTCGTTGCACCGCGGCCTCGGCCTGCAGCGACACAAACAAAAACCTGTTCGACCCAAACACAAAGGGCAAATAAAAAACCTTGTTTGACATGGTGCTCAAGCCTAGCTGTCTTAGCGGTTGCAATCACTCAGATAGGACAGGAGTAAGGTACAGAAGCATGGTTTTTGTAACAGTCCGCTCTTGGTGGTCGTTCGTGTTCGGTCTTACAAAATAGATCACCGCATTTTCTTACGCAACTTTGGTCAGTAAGGAGACTATTGTTCTTGTTAGCAAAACTTGCCAGAAATGGCTAACAATTGTGAGTTTAAGTTGATGGACTAGTAATCCGTCTATTGCTCACCTTCACCATCATTTTGGTCCCAGGGGTTGGTGCTCCCCCTTGTTGGTGCCAAGCCCACGAGCTGGTGACCAGCTCAACGAGCCAGCTTGGCTCGAGCCTGATGAGCTGAGATTCTGCGGCTTTTATCGAGCCATTGGCTCTTCTGCTCATGCCTACCTTATAGTGATGCCTCCTCTATCGTTCAGTGTTCTCCTCTTCATGTTATTAGTGTCCATGCGAACTGAGTCGTAGTAAGCAATAAAAAAATCTGATAAACCCAAAGCAACTGACAGAAAAGAGGTAAGAACCCCGATCCCCAACTGTGGCATGAAAAACTTTTGTGGGTTGGATTTCAAGCTGGGCACGAATTCCGGCAGGCTGCAAACGTGGCAAGGAAAGGGCTTGTGCATTGATTTCTCTGCTGCTCCACACCTGAATGTAAAACAACGAAGAACTGATGCGAAAATGGACGGCAACCCTTGTTGAGATAAGTCAGAACCATCAGTTGGTTCTTGCAGCAATGACTCTTGAGTGTACCTTGTCTATTTTTATCACTTTCCCTCAAGGTGCAAAAGAACGTCCTTTTTTTTCTTCTTTTTTCTTTCTTTCTCAAGATTTGTCCGTGAAATACGGTATCGTAAAATTGGCCGTAGAAAACAACCATAAAATATGACCATAAAACAAATCATTTGGGTCGAAAAATAGCGTCGTTTTTTTCAGTGAAATTTTTGAAACTGCTGGTGAATTTTTGTGAGTAGAACGAGGGGGATGTTAGAAGTGCTGCTAACGCACCAGGAGATTCAGTCAAGTGTATTACTATCAAATCACCTAGTTCCTACTGCTGATAGTACCACGATAGTTGAAACAACTCTTCTCGGGGTCACCTCCAAGGGTCCTTGGGTGCCTGACCGAAGTCAGCCCCTATTCAAGGGTCTGAGTTTGTCGAAAAAGAATCTCAGTAGCGTAGAACTGCAGCAGCGGAAGTCCTATGTTGCGGCGTAGTCAGAGAATCCTTGATAGTTAGAGTATAAACTTGATAGTCGCGTGGGAGAATGCTTGATAGGCAAAGTGTTTTTCATAAACAAGAGCATACATTTTATATAATCTCTAGGCTATTGCTAGTGCTAACTATCTAACACCTCTAGACAATTCCTATTGTTAACGCAGTGCGAGCATTTCGCATTTCACTAAAAAAATTTTGTAACTTGGCGGGTTGGCGATTCGCCAACGAGGCATTTCGAAAATGATCGCGCCAAGACTTATTTTGACGACCACGATTCGGGAGGGAAACTTCGCGCCATATTAGTAACGGCTCGGATCGGTCCGTTCAAACGGTGTTCAAAAGGGTCAAGCTCGAAACTCCACTAGCGAGCTGAGTTGGCAGAAAACGTCTCGCTCAAAACGCACAAGCAGGTGTGCTCGTGCTTTGTGTTCTGTGCAGCTGCCGTGTCAGCAGTTCAGTGTACGCGAACAAGCTGCTCGAGCGGTGCCCAATCATCTCGCTTGAACAGTCGCATTCTGAACAGCATTGTTCCGAACAGCAGTGTCCCGAACCGTAGCGTTCTGAATAGTAGAGTTCCGAACAGTTGCGTTCCGAACAGCAGTGTTCCGAACAGTAGCGTTCTGAACAGCAGAGTTCCGAACAGTTGTGTTATGAACAGCAGTGTTCCGAACAGCATTGTTCCGAACAATCATCAACTCGCCGCGTGAGCAGATTTCGCCGTTGTCATTGGCCGAATCGGATTTTGAACTCCGAACTGTCTTTTTTTAGCAGAATCGACTGCTCTCATTGGTCGAAGTAAAACTAAGCGTTTGAACCCTCGGTTGTAGGAGACTCGCTTCATCACTTCAGCTGCCGCGTGGAATAGTGTTGTTCACTCCCCCAGGAAAACCGGCTGATTGAAATACAGAAATATAATTCTGTGTTAACAGAGTGTTCTCTTGCTTGCAACGGCATCTTTGTAGTTTGAGCGCTCTTGTTTTTTTGGTCCTACAAGAGCACATTTTTTCCCCAGAAGATAGCATAGAATACCAATGGAAAAAAAATGATCATCTGATTTTCGACATTCGTGCTTTTCCACCTCCTTTCCCATCGCTCTTCCCCTTTCTTGTCCCTATCTCTCAGCTCCCTCTTCTTCCATCTACTTTTCTCTCAATCCAGAACCTCGCATCCATCGTACCTGCGATTTGCCCAGCTTATTTGACTGATCCTTGGTCAAAGTCTTGAACGCTCTACCCACTCTACCTCTCTCGCTTTGCTCGGTGTGTCTCCATCCTTTCACAAATGCAGGTTTCTGGGAGGCAATCAACTTGACGGCCCCATTCCTCCTGCTATCCTGAGCCCTTTAACAGACTTGAGAAGATTGTACGGCTTGTCTCTTGTCCCGCTTCTGTATTCTATGGTCGAGAGACCTCTTTTACATTCCACCCAAAGAAAACTGTTTATGCAGATTGGTTGATCGATGATATGCAGCCACTCGAAAAACCCCATTTGCTCTGTTTTCCTGTGATTTTTTTTTTTCCCTGGTTTTTGTTTGTTGTTATTGTTTAAAAAAAAAAAAAAAATGTGGTCCTCTCTTCTGTTCACTTTTCTTGTATCTCCTTGTCGCTTTTCTGTTGCCATATGTTCTTGGTTCCTTCTCTTCATCTGCAGTGACCATTTTTTGCTCCTCCTTCGTAACTGCAGTTCTTTAGCCAGCAACAAGTTCTCTGGAAACATTTCTTTCGTTTTAGTCCTTACAGAAGTGCAGATCCTGTAATGCCCCTTGCCTGTTTCTCCTCTCACTTGTGTCTCTTGTTTGTTGTATGAAAAGATGAGAATCCACATTCTGTACCAGGGTGATGTAGAAAGCGAATAACCTGCACATAATTATTTATCCTGGATATGACAGACATGCTGATGCCATGTAGATATCAAGGCATGAGCATAAAAAGTGACCACATTTCGGTTCTGTGTGGTTCGGTTCGCTGTCATCCAAACTGAATCGGTTGTTTTTGGGCGGCCTCTTCGGCGGTTTGATAGTAACAATTGCCGGGCCGCGCCGAAAAAAAAAACATTTTAAATGTAAGGCTATAATCCAGAGAGTTGGAGCTCATGTCGAGCTCTCTCATAGTCTATTATGCCCACTTCCACCTAACATTGGGGTGTTTCCCACATTCTCGATAGGGAATGAGCCCTGACGAACCGAACTGGTCCTGTTCGGTACCATGCTCAAGTCTATCAAGAGTTTTGTGCATGCTGCATTCTCAGGCCTCCTACTCATCATGTTCTCCACAGGGTTATCAACAACAATCAATTTACTGACTCCATTCCGTCTGACATTGGCACTCGCTTGTCCAAACTGCAATATCTGTGAGGCCCCTGCTTGGTTCTCCTTCTATATGCTTTCTCTTCCATCCTTGTGTGGTACTCCTTGCGTCTCAGAACTTGACAAGTGGTGAGGGAGGGAGCGGTATACATGAGCAAACGAGTCAAGCTACTCAGTGGGTTCTGTAACTAGTCATTGTCGAATTTCGAGCTCATTCTTTTTGAGTCGAGCCAAGTAAAAAAGAAAGACTCAGCTGAGTAAAGAGGTTATGGCTTGGGCTTGTAGGACGTGGTCGTTATCCAGATGCTAAGGGGTGAAGTGGGTTGAGATGGTTTTGCGTGTCAATTTGGAACCAAAAAAAGAGTCGTGGGAAACCTAAAAAGGTAGGCCTCCTCCTCCTCCTCCTCCTCCTCCTCCTCCTCCTCCTCCTCCTCCTCCTCCTCTGCCTCCTCCTCTGCCTCCTCCTCCTCCTCCTCCTCCTCCTCCTCCTCATCCTCCTCCTCCTCCTCCTCCTCCTCCTCCTCCTCCTCTTCCTCCTCCTCCTCCTTCTCCTCCTCCTCTTCCTCCTCCTCCTTCTGGCATTCTTCTGTTTATGTTATTTTTTCTTGGCCTCAGTAATATTCCCTGCTTGTGTATGTTTGCTACCCTACCCCACCACCTGCACCTCCCTCACCTTGCTCCTCACGTGCAGTGATGCCTCTCACAACTACCTCTCAGGCCCCATTTCGGGTCTTCCATGGACCAAAATGGACCTTTCAAGCAACTACTTGACAGGTCCTCTGGATCTTTCAGCCTCCACTAACGGCCGTCTTGCTTCCAACTGTTTCACACGGATTAACTGTCTCCCCACGCAGCCCAACTGCTCTTTCACACTGCAGCGGCCCACAGCAGAGTGCACGGCATTCTGTGGTGGCTGGAATGCATGTGATGGCCATGGCATCTGCTATCCAGGCGGACCCAGCTTGGTGCCAACGTGCTTGTGTGAACCGGGATATGTGCAGTTCAGAACGGTCAACTGTCTTGCACAAGGTACGTGTTGTATTATTGATCCTTGTGAAACATAGGAATTATCAATTTCGTACTTTTATTTTTCCTGCTACATCACATTTCTTATTTGCCTTGGCCTACTGCATGTTAGTACCGCGTTCTTTACTTTGTGTATGCCTTCAGATTGTTTAGCCAGGTGAGCACAAGAAGGGTTTCAGCTAAACAGTCATCTCACTCACACTCCCCTGCCAAGTTCTGATGCGCCATTGATGTTTTCAGACCTAGGCGACACCTAGTAGGCATTCAGCTGCTGTACAAGGTTTCTGCAACCTATGCTGCACTGCACAGACCCTTTTTTTTTACACTGGTGTATGCGTGTCTTGCTAATCTATGCTCATCGCCCTGAAGCAGCCTTCTTTTTCCAGATTGACAGAGATCCAGTTCTCCACCAATCCCATCCTTCTTTGTTCCCTTCTCTCATCCGTTGAATCCTTTCAGGTTGGGATCGTGGCCTGTTTATAAATACGCCTTTTTTTCCTTTGTTCCCCATTCTCACCAAGGGAACGCAACGACAGACAGTGGGGAAGTTTATGGCAAAGCCAGTAAGCCTTTTCGCGTACCCAAAGCCTTTCACCACGGGATGTGGCGCGGAGCTGGCTTTCAGTGTTAACTTCACATTCTGCGTCGTTCCCCAGAATGGTATTGGCGGGTTCAACGGGTTTGCATTTGTGATCGCGGCGAAGGGCAAGGTGGGAAAATCTAAAGGTGTAGGGTATGGTGGAATGGACAGGAGGAGTCTAGCCGTTAAATTTGGCACACTTCAGAATGCCAACCACAATGATCCGACGGAGCAGCATATAGGGCTCAACATAAATGGCTCGGATAATTCTTTGGTCACAGTGGAGTCACCATTCACTCTGAACGACGATGAATTCTACACAGCATGGGTGGACTATGACCCTTGGAATTCTGGGACGGTTCAAGTGTTTCTGGCCAATTCCAGGGTGAAGCTAGATACGCCGCTGCTGCAGAGGGAGCTGTCGCTGTGCACGGTGCTGCAGCCTGGTGGGAAGAAGTCGACGTTCTTCTTTGGCTCGTGGCATCCACCACTAAGAGGCCCTTTCAGACGCACGCCATTGCCAAATCCGCCATGCGAACAGGCAAGTCATTTGGGTGAGTGGGGTGTTGGTGATGGCAGTGTCAGTCAGTCTTGATGATGATGATGATGATGATGATGATGATGATGATGATGATGATGATGATGATGATGATGATGACGATGATGATGATGATGATGATGATGATGATGATGATGATGCTGATGATGGTGGTGGTGGTGGTGGTGGTGGTGGTGGTGGTGGTGATGATGATGATGAACAGGTGATGGTGATAATGGCATTGCGGTGATGGTAGGTGGCATTGAAAATCATTGTTTACCATGGTAATTGATTGACAAACTTAACTGCCTTGAATCTCATCTCTCATCTTGGTTCTCATGTGGTTGGTTGACTTTGTTGGTCTCTTATCTTCTCACAGGAATGTTTCCTCCACGCAAGCGAGTTGGAACTACTCGAGGTGAGCTGTCTCTGCCATGTGACAACCACCAGCAAGTTGGTTGATCAGCAGTAGTAACGTCCAGGTTAGACCATCTAACAGCTGGGAAACCCAAGGGTGAAAGAGGATTTTACAACACAGATTCGTTTTATTATGCACATGCCAAATTAGGCATGAGCATGGGACAAACCTGAACCAGTTTGACACAAACCGAGTCAGCCCGGCCTGGTAGTCGAGCCAAACCTGAACCGGTTCTAATCTGACCTTTGGAGGACCCGAGAGGTACGTGCCCAATTGTGCCCAACCCCTCCTCCTCCTCTCCCCCACTTAATATATATATATATATATATGTATTTATACATATTCATTTGGTGTAGCTGAGTGTGAACAAGTTATAGTTCATCAAACATGGAGCAAAAATGCAGGTGGAAAGCTGGAGCTTGAAAATAAGACCCACAAAGTTGGCTCCATATGTATATATATTTTTTCCAGAATGCTTATAGTTTGTCATTCTGACAAGTATTTTTGTGCCTTGTTTGAGTAAAACTTCAGCTTAGAAGCATGAAACCACTCCGCATACTTGTGTTCCCCAACCGAAGTCAGCCAGAGGCGAGGCAATCACAATTCCAGAGGACCCAGTCCAGTTCGACTCGAACCGGAAGGCCAAAAGAATGGCCCTGATTTGATCGACTGCTTATGCTTATGCTGAATGCACGATAACACATGAAGCTTCTCCGTCTTTTTCGTTGGGGAAATTCGCAAACTCTGGTGTAGTGTCCTGCCTTGCATTCAATGCGAGCTCCAAGGTGGATCTGTGCTTCACACGCCCACCAGGTGTGCCTCTACCCATCACCCATATTGTCTAGCCTACGCATATCTCCTTGTCCACCCCGTCCCTCCCCTCACAGAACGTGGACTCGCAGTATCAGAAAGCACGTTTGCACCACCTGGAGCGAGCCCATTCTCGCGCTATGTGAGCACGGCCTACCAATGGACGGATAACGATGCAAGCGTGGACTCGTGGGCCATCCGTGACTTCCACTCCTGGATCTCCATGGCCTTCCTCAAGTGGCCTGTCAAGGATCAGCTGCTTTGCAGTGAGTGACAAGAGCATGGAGATCGCATGTGACGTGTGCCAGTGGACATTTCCAGATTGGAGGTCCTCATTTCTTCAGGTTCACATGTTGCACGGCTATTTCTTAGCTTAGGGTCACGTTGCAAGTTCTTGTTTGCCACCGCAGATATTTTTACCATCTGCAAAGGTTTTTAGGACAGCAAGGTCCTCCAGTTGGGAATGTTTTCTACCCTCATTCCCCGATCCTGTGTCTACTTCTCAGATGCATGCTGAGCGTATGTATCTGCAGCGTTACTCCACCCTCAAAGAGTAAGCACAATTAACTGTTCTCGTATCTACTTGCTTATTCTCAGGTGCATGCTGGGCGTATGCGGTGGTGGCGAGTGTGGAGGCTGCGTATGGCATCGCATTGAATCAAGCTGCTCCCCAGCTGTGTGGAGTCACTCTTTGCAGCCATGGGGCTCACCGATGCAGACAAGTGCACCGCTGGAGGCTCCCCCACTTCAGCCTTTGAGAAGCTCGTCACTCTTGATGCCAGCAATGGGCTCACAGGAGTCAATGACCTGGTAGGGAAAACAGAATGAGGCCATGGTATGTGATGTGAGGTGCGGTGATGTGAGATGCTGCTGGGAACGGGTTTGATTGCGGCGAGACACTCTTAAGAAGTATCCTGACTATCAGATCTTTAGTAGAAACTAGTGTGTAGGATTGAAAAGCAAGTGGAAAATTCTAGTATATCAGTTCAGTTCAACAAATCTCAAGTCGGTTTTTAGGGCAATCATGGAAAATTTCACGACTCACCTTCCTTGGCAGAGACTGTGAAGGAATCGTTGCTTGTGATGGATATCTGAGTCGTGGATAGGCTGGCAATGCATTGAGCTGTCTCCTGCTGTAAATTACTCTTGGCTCCATGGTTTCCGTTTAGCATAGAGGGACATGGATATGGCACAAACCTCATATCCTTTCTTCATTCATTTGCTCTACTCATACATATTCCAACCCATTCTCGTGTTCCTAGGGAACAAGCTACCCGGTGGCAGCATTTGAGCGGGCGCTCTTCAAGGGGTACTTCGGGCTCATGCTGGCAGTGCGGCGCCAGCCAGTGGTGGTTCACATCGAGGCTTCGGCCGACACGTTCTTCCAGTATGATGGGGTGAGTCGCTGCAGCAATCATGTGTTGTGGTGCCTTGCGGACTTGCGCAGTGTGGTGCACTCTTGTAGCATTGCACACATATTTGTATGACGGATGTATGTCCCGTCCCACTTTTTGTTTCAGACGTTCAAGTACCAGGACCCTGCGTGCTACACGGGCAATCTGAACCATGTGGTGCTCGTCGTTGGCTACTTCATCAATCGAGACGACGGCAGCCAGAGACGCATCTCACCTCCATTTTGGGTCATCCGCAACTCGTGGGGGGTGGAGTGGGGAGACAAAGGCCACATGCGCATGGGCATTCAGGGAGGGGATGGCGTGTGTGGCATCAACGTGCTGCCTGGCATCTACCCCGTTGTCAAGAGTGAGAAATGCACAACATTGTTGTGAATCCACAGTTGTAATCCATAGTTGAAGTTTGCCATGCGACTCACTCCCAAGGGCAAGGCAGCAAACCTTTCCCACCCCCTCCCAACTTTTCCACCCTGTTTCGTGCCCCTTGTTGCTCGTTGTGATAGAAAAGCAGACAGCCTACCCCCACAAATACTGGGTTTCGAGTAGTAGACGGTAGCATGTCTTACGCAGAGGTGCTACATATTCTTCAAATGAGAGGGACTCAACGGGACATACGACCAGTGGGGGGCTATCACCTTGAGGCACCTTAGCTAGAAGGAGACCACCTGAAGCCAAATTCTGCACTCTGTATCGGTTGTGCATGGCGATATGGGGGGTTCAGGTCCATCGACCGTCATGCCGTATCCTGCTCAGAATAGCAGTGGCATTGGCCAAGAGCATGCTGGAGTGTGAGGCCGGATGGGACCTGGCACTCCTTGAGTTGTGACCTGGCCAGATGGGACCTGGCACTCCCGTCACCCTCATGCAGACCAGATTGGCATTGAGCCAGCCATGTGTGGAGTGCAGGAGGTGGGGATAGCGTTAGCAGCTTCCATCAGCAAAACTTCTGGCACA